AAAAAAGAAGCATCTTACCACTGTGGCAAACAGAACGACAGTGCCTCAAAGAACTCAATATGCAATTACCATGTGATCTAGCAATTCCACAGCTGGGTTTAGACCGAATGAAGCAAAAGCAGAGACTCAGAGATATTTGAACAGCTGTGTTCATCATATCATTATTCACAACAGCCGAAAAGGAGAAGCAACCCAAGCTTCCATCAGTGGATGAATGGATAAGAACAATGTGGTCTTCACATATTTACCTTTAAAAATAAGGCAATTCTGACATGTGCTGCACTAACGATGGGACTAGAGGACATTATACTCAGTGAAATAAGCCCGTCACAGAAAGATGAATCCATAGGATACTGCTTATATGAGGTACGTAGAGCAGTCAGATTTTAGAGACAGAAAGTAGAATGGTGGGTGCCAGGGCTGTGAGTAGGGGAGTGCGGAGTTAGTGCTTATAGGGCAAAGTTTCAGTTTCACAAACTGAAAGAGCTATGGAGATGGGCAGTGTGATGGTTGCACAATATTCTGAAGGTATTTAACACCACTCAATGCTACACTTTAAAATGGCTAAGCTGGTAAAGTTTATGTTATGTATATATTTCAACAATGAAAGAATTTTTTTTTAAAAAGCCAGTCACAAAAGGAAAACTACTGTCAGATTCCACTCATATGAAGTGCTTAGGGCAGTCAGATTCATGAAGGCAGGGAGGACAGTGGTGCTTCCAGGAGTGGAGGGGAGGGAAGGGACAATGGGGACTTAGTGGTTCATGGGGACAGAGTTTCAGTTTTGCAAGATGTAAAGTGTTCTGGGATTGGATGGTGGTGCTGGGTGCCCAACACTGGGAATGTCCTTAATGCCACTGAACTGGACACTTAAATGTGGCTACGATGGGAAATTTTACGTTATGTGTATTTTATCACAAGCACTTTCCAAAAAATGAATCTTTAAAAAAGCCGGCTTTTATGGAAAAAAATTAAACACCTAGGCACACTTCCAGCAGAGCTGCGGTGTCAGAGAAGCCGTTTTGCACTAGAAACTCGAGTCTGAAGTGCTGGGAGGGAGCACGTGGCCCCGGTGAGCAAATAAAACTAGACTGAGCACCAAGGGCAAAACCGTAGTGTTGCCTCCACGCGTCTGGTGGATGGAAACACCTCGGCGCCCTTCTACTCCTGTACTAGACGGAGACAGTTCCCTGCCACCTCACCCCAGAGCTGGGATTTGTGTCCTGAAATAAAATCCCTTGAATTAAAACTCATTTACACGGGGCTGGCAGCCAAGTGGCAGAGTTGAAGGAGCCAGCTCTCGCCTCCTTTCACAAACACACCCAAATCACAACCAACTGCAGATCAACCATCAGTAAGAAAGCCTGGAACCTACCAGAAAAGGTCTTCCGTAACCAAAGACGTAAAGAAGGAACCACAACAAGATGGTAGGAGTGATGCAGGAAAAATGGATGTGGGGAGTGAGGAGGGCTGTGCCTCAGGTTTCAGTGGAGCCCCTGGGACGTGCCCTGCCAGGTGTGGGTCCTTGGCTTCCCTCAGGAAAGATTTCAACAGCGAGCCACAGTTGAGTAAAGGTAAATTTATTTAGAGAGATACATACTGTATAGAGTGTAGGCTGTGACAAAAAGCAAGAGAAAGGCCACGAGGTGTGGTCATTGGGTGCTCAGGTTAAAGTATAAGTAGGTACACGCTCCACAGAGAGCGTGGGCTGTCTCCCAAGAGAAGGGAGTGAGAGAGGTGGCGACGAGGTGTGGTGGTGCCAGTTTTCATGGATTCAGTAGCTTCACAAGCTTACAAGTGGGAGGACTCTTCCCAACTACCCTGGGGAAGGGGCTGGGATTGCCAGGAATTGGGCCACAGCCCACTCTTTGGCCTTCTACGGTTAGCCTTGGGACTGTCCCGGACCTGGGGGCAGGTTATTTCTCATGCTAATATATTTCAGGGGAGAATAATGAAGCTCAAGGTCTACTGGAAGGCAAACCTCTCCCCATCTTAATCCTCAGGGCCTACTGGGAGTTGAATCTTCCACCATTTCGGTGATAATTGCTGTCATCCCTTGAATGGTTGGGCCCGGCCCCTTTCCCTCCTGTCTCAGGAGGAGCAAACTTGTGATATAATCAAATCCCTTACCCCTGGGTGGGCAACCCACAAACTGGAGAATAATTATGTTGAAGAGATTCTCCCACAGAGTCACAGTTCTGAGCCCAAAGTCAGGCTCCTCGGCTTAGGAGTCCAGCATTAGGAAGAGAAGGCCCCAGAGTATGTGGCTTTGAAGGCCAGGGGGAGCTTAACTGTAGGAGGCCCACAGGACTGGGGGAAATAGAGACTTCCCTCTCAAAAGGCACAAAACCTCATGCAAACCAGGACCAAGGGATTAAGCAGCAATATCATGGGACCCCGGGCCAGACCTAACTCCTGGGCTTGGAGCCTCTCCTGGGGAGCTGTGGGAATGGCTGGGGCT